GTAAAGGTAGACCTGTTGTAGCAAGGATGGGAGGTCCCTGGGACCATCAAGGGAGAAGAGCGGAGAGCGGGACCCTACCCAGAGAAGCAGTGATGCCTGAGATGGAGGCAGCGACGATGATGTGGAGATTTGGAGCAGCTGAGGACTTTAGACACAGAGAGGGAGAGGGGCTGTGTGCAGATGACGGGGAGGAGGGGAGGGAGGGGCAAAGGGGACAGGACTGTAGGATGTACCCTTTGGTTGGTTGATGATGCATGGAGGAGATTGTAACCATGGCAATGAAACGATATACAATAGGATGAATGTAAAACTAATGTTCTCCTATGTAAACTATCACATAATTCACAATAAAACATTAAAAAAAATGGTGACAAAAGAGATGGTGGCAGAGGCAATGGCACAGAGAGATAGAGCAGCAGAGGACTATAGGCCCATGGACTGAGAAAGGCAGTGTGCCCCAGGAGACTGTCTTGTACAATGTGCCCTTTGGACATTTAAATGAATATGTATACTTTCAATGTGGTATGTGTACATAGAAAATAAAAAGTAATGGAGGTAAATACTGTTAGCTGATGGTGCATGGAAGGGATTGTAATCGTTGCAAAGATTTGTTGAACGTCAAACTGATGATCTTCCCTGTAAACCTCCACTCACTTAATTCACAGTAAAAGCTTTTTAGAAAAGACCAACAGAGTAAGACGCCTCTCATTTCCTGATCTTAAAACCTACTACACATTCACAATAGTCAAAACAGCCTGGTACTGATGAAGCAAAAGACAAATAGATCAATGGAACAGAATTGAGAATCCAGAAGTAAATCTATTCACCTATGGTCAGTAGATCTTCAACAAAGAACTCAAAATGCATTAAATCTAGAAGAGATAACCTTCCACAAATAATACTGATATAATTGAAAATCCATTTTCAGAAAAATGAAACAAAACCCATATCTCACACCATATACAAACATCAACTCAATGTGGATTAAAGACCTAAATGTAAAACCTAAACCTTTAATGTCAATCAGATCATCAATGAAAAATATGGTCAAACTTAGGGTCTCTAATATGACTGGGGCCTCCTAAACACTAGGCACTTATGTACATCAAACGATTTGTCCAAAAGACTAAAAAGAGGACCCACAGACAGGGAAAATATGTTTGGCAAAGGCGTATCAGAGAGAGAACTACTCTCCAAAATATATAAAATGAAATATTCAACACCTCAACAAGAAGACAAATAATCCAATTAAAAATCTGCAGAGGACATGGGCAGACACTTCACCTAAGGCGGCATTCAGGTGGCCAACAAACTTAGGAAGAAATGCTCACAATCATTAGCCATTATAAACATGCAAATCAAAACAACAATGAGACCTCACCTTACTCCAGCATTAACAGAAAAGTTCTACAAAACAGAAAACAACACATAATTCTGGCGAGAGTGTGGAGAGCCTGGGACCCTCTTACTGCTGGTGGTACTGTAAAATGGTGCAGCCACTATGGAAAATGGTATGGCAACTTCTCAAAAAGTTGGAACTAGGAAGAGCACATGAACCAGTAATCCCTGTACTTGATATATAGCCTCCAGAAAGAAGAGCTAAGACACACCTAAGTAAAGACACACCCATGTTCCCTGCAGCATTATGCACAGTAGCAGAAAGATGGAGAAGGCTAAATGACCAGCAACAGAATAGTGAAACAAACTTCAGTACATACACAAAATGGATTACGCAATGCTGAAAAATAACAAAGGATCTGCAATACACCTCACAATGTAAATGAACCCGAAAGACATTATGCTGAGTGAAATCTGTCAATCACAAATGGACAAAAACTGCATGAGACCACTATTGCAAAGTTTAGGAAAGATTTTGTGCTAGATGAAACATTCTATGATAGTTACAGGGTGGGTGGGGGGTGTTGGGAAAGATAAATTGAAGTGAATAGAGATAAAACTGTTAACTGATGGGTGGTACATGCAATGGATTGCAATCATTGAAAATACAAGTGTATAATTTGTTGAATGTGGGACTGATGCTCTGTTCTGTAAACTTTCATTCAATTCACAATAAAAAGTTTAAAAAACGATTGACAGAGTGCAGACCCAGTCAGGAGGCCAAGCCCCTGAGGGCCCAAGCATTGTTGACCGTCCAAACCATAGGCTC